AGTAATATTGTAATATTACTGTATACTAATTAATATATATATATATATATTAATTAGTATACAGAGTAATATATATATTAGTATTTTTATACATCACTGTAGCCTATATAAGTAGTGGATGTAGTTAAGTATAGACGGTGCAATTCACGAAGCCCTGGTCTTTGGAGGCCCAGCTGGTTACTGATAGCACGACAACGATAATTTTATATATGCTATATATGTATATTTATATATTATGTATACATGCAACACAACTGTATGTATTACTCAATTTTGTACTCATAATATTTTTCAATTGAGTAATATTGTAATATTACTACAATATTACTCAATTGAAAATATTATGAATGCAAAAGGAATATTTAAAACAATCATGTTTTTATTGAATTTTAGCCTATCCTTAAAGTATTATGTAAAAAATATTTTTATTTCATAAGTACTTGTTCTAGCTATCAATTTGACCTGAATAATACGAGGAAAAAATTAACTGCTGTATCTGACATACAGATTAACCGTTAATTTATTGTTTTTTAAGTGATTTTTTCCCCCTTCTTTGAAAGAATTATTTAAGTGGTTATCGAAATCGAGTTTTCTGATTTTCACATTGAGAGTTCTTACCTGTTAGATAAAAAAATGGTTCACTCACTCATACTGTATGAGAATTTTTGAGCGTATTTGTGTGTTTGCATAGCAGTATGTTTTTTTCTTTCTTTTTGTGGTTTTAGGCCCTTTACCGCTCAAAAAAGAGCACAAAAAGGCCTTACACAGCAGTATATGTGGCGGGCAAGTTTACTATTACGGAGCTCTTTAAGTATGTGTTTAAAACTGTTGTTACCAACAGTTTTAAGTTGATACAACTGTTTAGTAATAACAATTAATACATTCATATTTTTATGTCCCGACATACAAAGATATGTTTGTTCAAAGTACTGTATTTATATTATAATCTCTCCATATAATAAAATAATTAGTAAAATCCAACCGCTAGATGCCAAGGTGTATATTATTATATACATACAACTTCCTCTTTCTACACCACCTATGTATATACCATCCATAAACACACGGCCCGTGCATGGGTGTCGGTTCTTTAAAAGTTGAGGTATGGAATTTTGTGAAAGCAGGACCCTACTTTCACAAAATAGTGATGCATTGCT